ATTTAAAAGTTAAATGAAAATATTTGTATAAAGGAAGGGAAACATGGATAACATAAATAGATCAAATCTGACTAAAAAGCATTTCCTTCTTACTAAAGCTTCAACCTTCATAATCATAGTTATATTTTGCAACCTGATCAAAACTAATGAGCATATAATTGATGATGATTCGCATGAGTGCCCCTAGTCAATTTAAAAAACCTCAAAGATTTTGACAAAAAAAAAGAGGAAGAAGAAGAATAAGTATCACATTTTACGCACCACTAAATACTATAATTATAAGCGCTCACCACTTGATACCTGTCGATTTTCAACCTGTCCATGTCCGTATACCAGAGCTTGTGTCCGACTGCATCTGTGGAGGATGTCTTGCTTTACATATATGTATGTATGTATGTATGTGTGCAGTCTGCATTATCGTGTGAGCGATATTGCGAGCCCAATGAGCTGTGAAAGTCAAAAGGCATACCAAGAAACCAAAGTGAAATCAATCACAAAACTGCCTACAACAAAAACTCAAACAGAGAGCCCAAGAGAGCGGAATGGGGAGAAGAAAGCCGCAAACATTTTTTCGGCACTGCTCGGGTCAGCTTTCGCACAATCTTCGAATTGGGCGGTAAGGACGTTTCCAAGCTTGCGCCTTATTTGGGGCGGGCTGTGTAGGGGAGAGAGGGGCACGAAAGACAACGACAACAACGTAGACGTCAGACAAAGGGCAGCCTCTGAGCGTGGGAATTTGTTGTTTTTGCAGGCTCTTCTCATTTTATTTTATTTTTTTTTGCTGGTCAGTCAGTACCTGGCTGCCTTTGGTACATGTCCCAGGTCCACATCGAGGTCGCACGGGGTCGTTCTTTTTGCTGCTCCTCGGTCGTTGGTAATAATAAGATGTTTTGTTTCAATCACATCGTCGCATCATCGCCGTCTCCTCCATATGCATACACACGCACACATACGCTGAGATTCCTTGCTGTTGTTTTTGTTTTTGCGCATTTGCTTTTGCTGCTGCTCTTTTTCCAACACTGTCTGCGCCTTTGTTGTTGCCTTTTATCTTTGCCTTGCGCTCTTGCACTTTATTGTAGGCTGTGGTTATTTCTCTTATTGTTGTTGTTATTGTTGTGGTAGTTGCTTTTGTTGCCCATAGATGGTGTCATGATGCGCGCAAGCCCCAATTGCCCTGGCGGACTCTTTGAGCAAGAACCCTTGCAGTGGGCCGTCGATGCGGTTAATTGAATGTTATGAAAATGTTAACACTTTATACACACACACACACCGCACACATTCATACAATTAGTCGTGATTTATTGATTACTATATTATGCATGCATAATAAAGGTGTTTAGCTGCAGAAGAAATGCAAAGAATCCGCTCGAGCCTGCCTGAGGCGTATATTGAACAAGTTAACTGTTTTATTGTAAATATTGTAGATTGAGTAATATGAGAATTTTATGTGGAATACTATTATGGGGAATACTAATTGCATTTTTATAAAGCGAAATATATATTTATTTTTATTTTAATGCTTAAATAAATACATATATAAAACATATATTTACATTCATATGAAAAATAAAGACAAAGGTATATGTTATAGAGGAATTATCTCTATCATGAGTACTAGAAAGAAATGCGAGTTAAAATTCTTTGATTTACATATGTATGTATACCATCCCTATTATAAACTATCCATCAATTTCCGCAACTTTGGCAATAATTTATGCCCAGGAACACATTCAGCTTATATTATATACGCTTAGGAATAAATGACGACAATTACAATATATTTTGCACATACACAAATGCTGTGTAAGTTTCCCCTCCCTGTAGTCCCCCTCAAGTGGAGCCAGACGAAAGACCCTCGGTGCCCGTGCAGCAGGTTGGGCACTTATCAAGCACCGCCCTCGCTTCACACACAGACTCCGTGGATATGGATACCAAACGACGGCGTGACTTATGAGTGGATTGAGCGTGGATGCCCGGTGGATGCAACGTCCCGATGCCGGCACTGCCCATTGATCAGCCACACAAACAACAAGCCACAAACTGAGGTAGGCAACGGCCCTGTCGACGCTCGGCCATGTGAGCTGGTCGGGTCGTTAAACAATGCTGGGAATCTGCCAGACGCCTTGCTTGATTTTTGCTCCTTTCTGCCTTTATTTTGTGTGTTCGTTTACTTTTTTTCTTGCTTTTGGTTTTTTGCTGGTGCTTTGCGGACTGTTTGGGCAAAACTTAACAAGGTCAAATTTGTTGTGGCTTAATTTGCCGTCTCTCGGTGTGTGGGAAAAAAGCAAAAGAGAACCGAAAGCACATTTATGGAGGCGTCAAGCATATGATAAGCCAGCAGAAATAAAGGCTGAAACAAAGTTAATAGAAAAGATTACAATAGAAAGATTTTTAAAATTTAAAAAAGAAAAAAATAAAGAATAAAGTTTAATAAATGAAGTTTGCATGTCTATAAGAGATTGGCTACATTTATTTTTATTGAGCTGATTTCTATAGTGATGTCCTCTGCGTCTTCTTCTTTAAGTTTAAGAAGAAGAGTTTGTAAGAATTATATATAATAGAAGAGGTTTCACGTATCAGCTATGATTTTATAGTCTGGTTTGATTAAATAATCCGGTATAATTTATAAAATCAATATGTTCTTTTCTTATATGATCTATATATTATCATTAGCTAGCTACTATTCTCATATACATGTATGTAAGTGTCTAAATCTATAGATTAAATGTCAGTATTATAGTTATCGTTCTCTAGAATTACTTAGCCTAATTTGGCCTAGATAATTTATTCACATATATGTATATGTCTGAAATTATAAACCATATTATATGTTTTAACAAATTCTTCAACTCTTCCAAAATACAGTTCGCTCTTAGTCAAAGTTAGTTAAATAAATAGTTCTGTTACCGAATCCCTTGCATGTTTTTCAGGAAAATATTTGGCACAAAATGAGGCACAGCTCGGCGCCCAAGCGACTTTTAAAGCTATTTTTTGGCACTCGGTTGGCTGTCAACCCTTCCAGGACTCTGTCAAGCCGCAAGCAGACAAATGGCCAAAAACAAATTTTCCATATCCATGGCCCACTAATCGCTGTGAACAACAACACATGCAAATACGTGACGCGACGAGGTCGCAGGTTCAAATTCTGTTCAAAAAAAAAAAACAAAACAAAAAACAACAAAAATATATTTTTAGACGGTGCTCGACACGTGCTATGCACTCTCCGCAACCGCAACCCTTTCGATGGGTCTGCACTTGCACTGGCTCGAAGCTCTCTGATTCGGATTTAAATTGGGATTTGGACTGTGAATGCTCTAATGATGCGGCATTATTTGCATATGCCGAACTCCGAGCTGGCCAGAAAGGGTTAAGGGGTTGCTGCCCGTTAATGAAGTGAATTATGTGAGACTGTTGCCGTTACTGTTACAGTTACGTTAATTTATGCATGTTATACAACCATTGACTTGTCCCGCTGTCATTGTCACGTTCCTGTTCCCGGTTCCTGTTCCAGTTCCTGTTCCCTCTTCGGCACTCTTTTCCGATTTCAGTCATTTTTAATGATAGCCCAACTGAAATCGCAATCAAAGGGTTAGCATAACGTGCACTTTACAAAAGTTAGCTGCATGCAATCGACTCTACTCGATATAGGGACTACCTCGAATGGGGTGGAGTCCCGGACTCACACAATTGATGCCTTGAATTTTCTTTGCGGTCGTTCGTCACACAGGGCACACAGGTGCAAAAGTGTTGATTGCTGTGGTTTACTCTGTCAAACTGTCAAAGCTCGTTGCATTTCGTGAGAATCGCTACATTTTGGGGCTTCAATAGGTCTGGTTTTCTTTTAAAAAAAGGGGGAGAGAGGCAGAAAGATGAGGAGTGGATTGCTCACTGGGCGTGATTCCGCTTAAGCCAAAACTATTAACAATAGACATACTACATGTATCCTAATCCTACATTGCAATAATCCATGCATTGATCCAAAATTAGTTATAATGGGGCAGCTCTTTGCATGATACTATGTATTATCGGGTCTGGCGAAAAGCCGGTCGAAAGCGAGGTCAGCATCGGTAATAAATTGTAACTTTATTTATTTTTAAATTTATATAATAATTTAATTTAATTTCAATTTATTATTTACATACATATATTTATATTATTTATAATAATAATATTTTTATTAATATATACATATATGTATATAAATTTATTTGAGACTGTTTTTATCTAATGCTCAAACATACTATTAATTAAAAAAAATTAAATATATAAT